TTTTACACATTTATTTCTCTTTGGTGTTTGGTTAGTTTTAAAGTATAAAATTGTATCATTTTAAGAAGCCAGTAAGCTACTTTGATGACCACTCTATTATAATCACAAACATTGTAGGCTATAAAATAATTCACCCTATTTCACACGCTCCAATATCTCGACTGTTTTGATTTGGAGTTTGAGGGGCAGCCGACAGGATGTAGCATTGATAAATATCCCTGTTGATCACTTGATTGATTACCTCGCGCAAAGGTCACGCGGGCGCGCGGTAATTTCCTTGTGCCCGCGGCTCCCATTTCACTTTCAGTCTGGCGCGAGAGCACCCGACTTTACAAATTATGTTTTTATTTTAACCCTTCCCTTCCCTTTTTAACATCACCGACTCTCGCCAACGACCTCTGTGTGCCGTACATCAAACGACAGAAGAGGGCAAACCTTTAATTAGGTTGGAGTATTAATCACCGAAGGTAAACTGTATCCTCTCTTTTTGATGGGGTGGTGGATTTAAACCCGACGACAAGCTAATAATTTAGCCGCTTTTCCAAAAGGGCTCTGGCCTCAATTAATTTTCAATAATTACAGCCCACGGGGTCTTGACTGATCTTCACACCAGTGCGCCAGCCATCTCCGGCCGACGGGGTCAGAGTAGCACAATAAAATATGTACTGTGAAAAATAAGGACGGCGAGATCTTGCAAAGTGGGAAAAACAAAACAGGACTATTGACAGCAAGCCCATTCTTTCTCTCTGTTTGTTTGACATCGAGAGAAGTTGCATTGAGTTGTACTTGTTCTCTCACTTTCATATTTTATTTATTCCTTGTGCTACAATTGAAGACTTCTGTTTATTCAGTTTTCTTTGCAGACTTTGTTTCCAGATACAGTTACCTCACAACACGTTAGAATCCGTTTAAGAACATGAGTGCACATTTCTTTTGATTTGCAAGATCAGCCTAATTATTTCTTGGGGATTTTTGCTGAGTTTAAATTACAGACTGTGCCCAATAAATACATAATCAAATAAATATACATTTTTGTCATGATCAGTGACATTTATGATAATGGTGAGCTGTAATTTGGCAAAATATTGAATGACTGTTTTTGTTGTTTGAAGAACCTCTATTTTCTCTCATTTACTGTTGGCTATTCTGGTTTGTAAGTGCTGGTCAGCTCAGAGCTCAGAGGGGCGTGGACGGCAGCTGATGTTTGTTCTGCACCATTCATTTTTATGCAGAGTGATGTCAGATTAATTGGATCCGTTTTAGAAATACTTAGCAATCAATACCGCCAGTGAGAGGAAAGCGACCCTTTTAAAGGTTCACGGGCAAGGTCAACATGATGTCACGCGCTTCTAATTAATGGACAATTAACTTAATGACCCAAGAGTTTACAAAATTTTCACCCATCGTGAAAAACTAGTAATAAATGCCAAATAAAATTAAATAAATTAGATACTATAATGCTGATTTATTCGTTATCCAGGATCATATATCAAGATCATAAAAGGCCTATCCTATCTCGAGGGCTTGGAACCAGAGGGGCGTAAGTGGCATTTTGGGCGAAAATGAGTTCTACATATCAAATTAAAGGTCTTGATGAGCTCTATCTAGTTGTGCCAAAAAGACCTATCTGAGATCAAACTGTATTGAATAAAGCAACAAAACAATACAGACCTAACACAAAAGTGTGAGTAATGTTTGGAGCCAGAAGGGCGTAAGTCCACTTACGCCCTTCTGGCTCTGAAAAATACATGTAGGACCCACATTTTTGTTCAGAGCCAGAAGGGCGTAAGTGTAGTTGGTGCCCTAAAACTGCATTCAAAATGGCTGACACAACTGCAGACATGGAACTGTCTGAGGCAGAAACGATTTTGATGAATATTATGAAACAAACTGATGAATCCTACACTCACCTAAAGGATTATTAGGAACACCTGTTCAATTTCTCATTAATGCAATTATCTAATCAACCAATTACATGGCAGTTGCTTCAATGCATTTAGGGGTGTGGTCTTGGTCAAGACAATCTCCTGAACTCCAAACTGAATGTCAGAATGGGAAAGAAAGGTGATTTAAGCCATTTTGAGCGTGGCATGGTTGTTGGTGCCAGACGGGCCGGTCTGAGTATTTCACAATCTGCTCAGTTACTGGGATTTTCACGCACAACCATTTCTAGGGTTTACAAAGAATGGTGTGAAAAGGGAAAAACATCCAGTATGCGGCAGTCCTGTGGGCGAAAATGCCTTGTTGATGCTAGAGGTCAGAGGAGAATGGGCCGACTGATTCAAGCTGATAGAAGAGCAACTTTGACTGAAATAACCACTCGTTACAACCGAGGTATGCAGCAAAGCATTTGTGAAGCCACAACACACACAACCTTGAGGCGGATGGGCTACAACAGAAGAAGACCCCACCGGGTACCACTCATCTCCACTACAAATAGGAAAAAGAGGCTACAATTTGCAAGATCTCACCAAAATTGGACAGTTGAAGACTGGAAAAATGTTGCCTGGTCTGATGAGTCTCGATTTCTGTTGAGACATTCAGATTGTAGAGTCAGAATTTGGCGTAAACAGAATGAGAACATGGATCCATCATGCCTTGTTACCACTGTGCAGGCTGGTGGTGGTGGTGTAATGGTGTGGGGGATGTTTTCTTGGCACACTTTAGGCCCCTTAGTGCCAATTGGGCATCGTTTAAATGCCACGGCCTACCTGAGCATTGTTTCTGACCATGTCCATCCCTTTATGGCCACCATGTACCCATCCTCTGATGGCTACTTCCAGCAGGATAATGCACCATGTCACAAAGCTCGAATCATTTCAAATTGGTTTCTTGAACATGACAATGAGTTCACTGTACTAAAATGGCCCCCACAGTCACCAGATCTCCAATAGAGCATCTTTGGGATGTGGTGGAACGGGAGATTCGTGCCCTGGATGTGCATCCCACAAATCTCCATCAACTGCAAGATGCTATCCTATCAATATGGGCCAACATTTCTAAAGAATGCTTTCAGCACCATGTTGAATCAATGCCACGTAGAATTAAGGCAGTTCTGAAGGCGAAAGGGGGTCAAACACAGTATTAGGATGGTGTTCCTAATAATCCTTTAGGTGAGTGTATATTGAAGAAGTTGAAGATGAGTCAGAGTTGTTTGAATGCATTTCCTCACAAGAGTGATGACAGTAAGACATAATCATGCCTTGAGAGCCTTACCTTGTTAGCCTAGCCTAGCATGGCTAACGTTAATCCCATTGGTTTGGTCTGATCTGGCTAACTGTGCCTGTGTTCTGACAGAGAATATTCTTTTGAACTTTCTCATAATCTACTTTACCCTAGCCTTAAACTAATAGATTCAGGGCACTCATGTAGGATATTATATTAATAAATATTAATGTGTTAATCATTAAGGGACACAGCCACATGAGGTGAGGAAGAGAGATCAACTTGAGGGACACATGGAGACAGATGGAGGAAGTGAGTTCTGACTTGCATAGAAAATAAGTTAGAACATTACCTTATCTAATCCTTACCCCGAATTATTAATATCAGGGCATTCATGTAGGATATTAATAAATATTAATTATATAATTTAGGGACACAGCATGAGATGAGGGAGAGAGATGAGGGACACATGGAGACAGCAGAAGATGGGGAAAGAGAGACAGGGAGGGACACAGATCATGCAATTGATGAGGGACACATGGAGACAGAAGAAGATCGAGGGACTGAGACAGTATTGAGCCTGTTTAGGAGGGAGGGGTTGAAAGTGGCCAGGAAGAGGATGCCAACACACCACAAAAAGGAAGAAAAAGACAGAGAGATGTTGAAAATTGGAAAAGAAACCAACGTAAAAGGTTAAGAAATTCTGGCCAAGGCTACATTAATTCACATGGCATTCATGTTCCAGGAAGGAAGGTGAGGGAAAAGAACTAAAAAGCAAAAAGAACACGAGAGAACTGTCAATTGAATAGAGTATTGAAAAAAAAAGAATTGTAATGAAATCAATTGAACAACTCATGAATTGCCAATCAGAAGTGTGTTTAGCAAGTTCAGTGACTTTAATTACAGTCTGTAGTGTTCAGCAGATGCCCAGAATGGAAAGGTGAAAAAAAAATAAAAATAATAATAATAATAATGAATGAGTTAAATGAAAAATAATTACTTGTTCAAGTGTGATTCAAGTGTTAATTATTCAATCAATTCCCCTTTTGATCAATTATTTTCTGCATTGTTCAGCAGATACGCCCAATTTGTCCATAGAAGACTTGGAAATGTTTGGTGCCAAAAAGGCGTATCTGACGTTTTTGACATATTTTTTTTATTTTAAAATGTTTTAGAACATGTTCATTGTGTTAATATGCCATACATTTTTTACTTAAATACTCATTCATGTAAGTATGCCTGTGGTTGCAATTTTTGTGGTTTAAGGTTAATGATACAGGTGATTGAAGTGTGGTCAAAATTTTGTTTTGTCTCTCCTGTAAAGTTTGTCAAAAGCCACTTACGCCCCTCTGGCTCCAAGCCCTCGATCTAATGTTTTTAATTTGAGCATTGCTGGACATCGAGAAAAGAAGCGTCCCAAAGGCATCAGTGATCAATTTCCCTTACACATTAACAAAAATGGTCTGCGTTTAGAATATATATGCAGACTTAACTTATAACCTCTTCTTCCTAAAATCACTCAAAATCCATTTATCAACCCAATATTTTACACACCGGAAAATAATTGATTATCGGTTTCACTGTTTTTTTTTCTGTTTTTTTTTTCGTTTTTTTTTCACATCCCGTATGAATATAGTTGGTCGATAACCGATAGGAAATCATGGAGAGCAGAGCCAACTCCACATATTAATAATTGTCAGTGCCGCATGCAAGAAAAAAAAAACTATTCAACGGGCTGCCCTCGGTACCGACTGCCCACGCGCCTGTATGGCTGAGGGAGGGGGCGAGAAGTAAAAGTTTATCATAAATTCACAACGATGGTCAAATCTCAATTAAACAACATAAAACGTTTAATGAAAACGTTTTACAATAGTCATTTACGCGAACAGTGATTAATGCGTCTTCATTTAAAACACAAAAGACCGGGCGCCTTGGACGCTCGAGACTGCTTCATTATAATTAATGTCTCCGGTTCCTCGTGCACCCGGAGGTCGCGAATCGCTCCGTCCCGCGCCCACTGATCTCTGAAGATCTGACACGAGAGGGATCTCGCTGGCTATTGCAATCTGACAAGATCTGTAATACTTGGGTGATGAATCGTTCCAAACTTTTTGACGATGCTGGCAGCTCGGGGGTGTGCGCATGTGCGAAGGTGTCCAAACTGACAATGCTGGAGAGATAGTGCGTCTGGGATTGAGAATCACAGAGGAAAAGGGGAAAAGATTCGAGAAAAAATCCGACAAACCCACGCCGAAAGACTGGCATCATGAGGTCCAAAGGCAGGGCAAGGAAACTGACCACTGGTAGGTGCAACATCTCTTTTTTAGCCCTTTTCAAACTGCCATCTTGTCCATGTGTATGATGCATGGAAACATTTTAGCCACTAAACAGTTACAGTCAGCAGACCCCAGCGGTTTCAGTTGTTAGTAAGTTTGGAAGACAAGCTAAACGCGAACCGTCGCGCGCGCTCTCGGACATTTTAAACCTAGAATCGGAACTGGCTTATAAGTTGCGCGTGCCGCACAAACTTTTTAACTTTCGCATGCTGTAATCGCTCTCTCTTTTCGCGCCCCGGTGTTCGATAAAACAGCACCGTCCGTGCAAGCTTCTGCTGCTCCGGTCACATCAATTTCCAGCCGCGACTTTGAAAGCTTAGCCTCGCCTAGTCGACAACAGAAAGCCAGCTGCGGAGGCACGCTTTTAAATGCAAACAGGTAGCTTTCAGCTGATGTTGCAGCACGCAACCCAAAAAATGTAAATATATGCTAGATTAATAGGACTGTGGTTAAAGAAAAAGCGCTTTGAAGTATTTTGATTTGTAGAATTAATATCCTACGCCTTTTTTTCCCCCCTGTGTAATTGTTCAAACTGGTTGTGCAACAAGTGATCAAATCCCGTTATGATTTTTTTGGTCCGGTATGAAGAGCCCGGAGAAATGTTTTTGTTTGTTATGGCTCTCTAAACGGTCGACTGTAATCTTAGCTTTTGATTACGGGTTGCCTTCGGCGCTTGTTTGAGTTGACGTTCAATGCCACGCCACAACACAAGCTCAAACGCCGCAACTGAACATCAAGTAGTTAGTGGGACGTTGTTCCCCTCCTCATTGGATTTATTCGGAACGAATGTATTTCGCTCAGGTCTGTGAATAATTCGGCCCCCTCGCGCGCAGTAGGCTGCTAACTGCTGATTTGACCAATTTTTTTTTTTTTTTTTTTTTTTTTTGCTGTTTTCCAATAAACTCTCATTGTGGTCCACACCACGAAAATCCATGCAAATATTTCACATTTTATAATCTCAGAGCAGAGCTAAAAGTCTTGTTTTTGAAAGTTGAATGCACTTGATTCAATTAATTTATTTTTAAAGAATAGGTTAGATGGTGACAGCTGGTCAACAACTTTAATGTTGTCAGTATGTGTGAAGTTAACAAAGGAGGCAGTGAAAACAAAGTAAAGGATCATTTTGCTGTTGAATTATTGTTTCCTTTCCTGTCGACAGCACCGTGATGGGCTAGACACTGCGCGCGCTCCGTCTGGACAGAAACAGGGGTCGTGCGGGTCTTATCCGTTCAATAAACTACCTCTCGAGCCCTATGCCCTGCCATTGTACAGTGAGAGGGGTTTTTCTGCGCACAACAGCAACTTGTCAAACACGCTCACGTGCACACGCGCTCTCTCGTCCACACACATCTATGCCCAGACCAACGCAATTTCACTTTTGTATTTTATTTTCCTGTTGCTGCAGGTAGGGCAACTCATCACTTTCTTTAAGATTGCCACAAGTGTGCGGAATTATTATTCGAGAGAGGTTTCAAAACTACCTATATTTAAATAGGCTGTCATTGATATTGACGTCATTTAATAAATCACCATGACTATCACAACTCCACTATTATATGATTTTGCTAGAAAACGTAGGCTATTTTGTCCTCTTATCAAATTATTGATGGCTACTGAAAATCAACCAACCAGCTATACAATCTATGTAATTTTGAACATGTACATTTGCTATAGTAATTTTTTTTAAATTTGACTTTTATTATGCTGTTATACGCCAGCACAAGTTTTGGCTAAAATTCAAGTTGAGAGTAAGATATTCTCCAATATTTTTACAGACTTTCCCACCCTCTCGAAGCTCCAGCATCGTTATTTAGGCTACTATCTGAGAATATCGAGATAATTGTCAGGGGATGTATTTAAAGATTATTATTTACCCAAGATGTAAGAAGATTTCTACCTATTAAGTGAAAGGGAGAGAATGTTCTGGACCGCGCGCGTCCCGCGAGACTATGGCCTCTCTGGCCTAGCGCCAGTCCTGCACTATGTCAACATTGAATATTTAAATTCCCAGACTCCTCATAACGGGGCCCGTCTGCCGGTAAAAGCGCGTTCAGCGTTAGTCTGAGTATCTGCGGACTCGGTTTCCTTGAAGGGGGGAAAGGGGGAAAAAAAGTAATCTTCTCTCCGTGTGGCCTATGTGCGCGCGCGCTCACCGCACATCATTCTGGTTGCACGCGCTCGCACTGATGTGTGTGAGTGCTGGAAAGGTAATAAAAATCGGTCGTTTAGCTGGTGTGTGTGCACGACATGTTTTGTGAATTTGGCCAGCGGTGCCGGACATTTCACCTGCAAGGCCAACAGTCTTAAAATGTCCATAATGTTTTAACACGCCGTGCCAAGTGTCCTATATCCCTCAGCATGATGTTGCAGGTTTACTATGAATGGGGTAAAATTACACTTCACGAACAAGAATAATAACCTTGACCTGCCAGAAATCAGACTGTGCTGTCCGTTGAAACCCTACCCATGACATTCTGACGGATCTTGACACTTTAATTGCACTTTTAATTGTCTAGCACCATTCGTACACTTTAAAGTCTGACATATCTTTTATGAAAATGGTTTCATTGCTCATTGTGGATAATATACTTGTTCATGGATTAGATTAGAACTTTGTTGTCATTGTGCTGAGCTGAGGACAAGGCAATGAGATATGCTGTTAGGCGTTAGCATCTAACCAGAAGTGCAAAATTGTACTTAACTTGCAATTGAGGTAAAAGGTAATGAATGTGGTTCAGGGTAAAATATGCAAGATAATATACATATACATTCAAGCAATATGTAGCCTAAGTGTAAATACATTTATAAAATATAAAATAATTGGTTGCAATCGACATAGTAACTGTGTGGAGGAGCCTATGGCTATTATTTACAATAATAAGCTTGTTGTGAGGGGAAAGACCAGAAATATGCATACTTGCAATATAGTAACGAATGATTTGTGTTCAAGTTCATACAGGAGTAGCATTACATTAGCAACTCCATGCTCTGTGTGAACAATAAAACTGTTGATATATTTAAGATCGTGAAGATTAAAACCTTTTAGAAATATCATCAGTCGTATATTAGGTTTCTAAGACCAACCGTTCATTGTCTCAGGTGTCTGTGAAATTTCAGAATTTAAGATAAATTCAGATGCATTTTCCGTATACTAACGATCTGATTTCTCGTTTGATGATAACTGCATTTGATAAGCTGTACATGTTCAGCAAGACTTTTGATTGTCCCTTTGTCCCATTCAGCGTCTTCGACAGCTCCATCAGTTTCACGCCACGACTTTTGTTTTGACTTTGATGTGACTCACTTCACCGTGAAAGTGTCCAAACAACGGAAAATCAACTCGACGCTGAGAAGAGAGAGAGAGAGAGAGAAAAAAAAAATACCGAGCTCCAAATTTAACAATGTGACATTCCGCGTGAGTGAAGCGCGTGAGAATAAGCCCTGCGCGCGAGCATTCTCTCCGCCTGTCAGCGCGCGACCACAGTCCGCTTCTTCACAGACACGGGCGCGCGTTAGATTCCGCATTGTGCAATGGGCCGTGCTGTTGCGTCCCGCGTCCGACGCCCCCTGGCTCATTATAGAGCCTATTCAGGACGGGGTGAACGGATCGGGCTATTTAAAAAGGTGAGCGCGAACCGTATTAAACGCTCGTTCGTTGTCTGATACTGAATCTTTGGTGCTAGAAAAAAAGCCGTGTCTACCCCAAACACTTTTCAGACTCATTGGAGACGGAAGAAAGCAAGAAAAAGTGATTATATTGTCTTCACTTTTCAGACTGTGGAAATCTACAATGTTAACGTCTCAATTTTTACCTCTTGAGTAAATATTTACTTTACATCTCTCTCTCTCTCTCTCTCTCTCTCTCTCTCTCTCTCTCTCTCTCTCTCTCTCTCTCTCTCTCTCTCTCTCTCTCTCTCTCTCACACACACTCACCCCTGGCATGATATAGCCTACAACGTTTTTAGTTGAGTTCCTGGGATTGTGATGCTTTCCCTTGGAGAATTCCTGTGCCTCGAACTTGCATGCATGTCCACTCTGAAAAGATCAGAGAGTTTAAAACTGAAGACTTTTGTTTTTAGAGACAAAGTCAAAGTGACCGATGAGTTAATCTGGAGTAAAACGGTGAGCCGTGATGGGGTCAGTGTGAAACAAGGCTAGCGTTCCCAGGCATTGAGTGTGTGCATCTGCGTAAGACGGAGAGAGTTGCAGGCCACTGTGGGTCTTGATCATGATTGATCACATGTTTTCAAAGGATTGATTGATTAGCCAGAAGCTACTGGGCTTAGCCGAGAGGTCTGCTTATGTCCTGGGAAATTGTCCTCTTGTCTGTTTGTGTGAGATTTCATCTGAGAGAAAACAGGAGGAGGTGAGATGGAGAAGGAGATAATTATATGATGTATATATGATGATTCTTTGAATCGTGCGTCAGAGTGTCCCATAGACGCCAACGTAAGAAGTGATTTCCTTGTATATGTTAGGAAAGGAAGGACTGGATGTAGGTGACAATAACACAGTTACCCTCATCCATCAACACCCTTATAATACCACTACTTTCTCTCCTTCTCTTTCTTTCTTTCTTTCTTCTGCGCTCTCTCCCTCCCTAATGACTCAACGAGTGTCTGCGTCTGCCGAGAGTGAATTGAAATGGCCGGGTCAGCAGTTTATTTATCTTGTGCTCTGATTGGTCAGGGGTCAGGTCACATGGATGTTTATTTGGAGATTTGATTGGTGTGACTGATGGCTATGTCGTTTGTGTCCCACAGGGAATTATGGGGGTTGTTGTTCAGTACGTCCAGTCACTTTTTATCCCCGAGCGACAGGTCCTGAATCAGTCTACCAAAGCTCAGCCTTGACTGAAGTCAGCATGAACCGCATCAGGCCAGTCGAGTAATAAGTCACTGTCAAGCCAACACCCCCGAAACCATCAGATGTCACTGTTTGACTGGTCTTGACTCATCTTTACTTGT